GGCTGGAGATCAGAAGAGTACATGGCCATTTCAGGCCAGATTGTTCTTCAAAATATTGAAAACGTTCATAGATGACCAGCAGGGTCAAATAATAATCACAGTGGTTGTAGAGGGTGCAACAGGTAAATGTTAGTTAGCTTTTCAAAAATGTGTCTGGTCCCAATTCAAATCTCGCATGTGCACACACACAGCCAATTAACTCTTGTTTTCTCACCCACATCTCATTCCTCGCCTCTCCCACACAATCCTGTCAGAGTAAAACTGTGTGTGTGTGTGTGTGCATTTATGCTGAAAGGACAGCGCAGGATAGCTCACAAATAAGCAACCTACCAAGCCTGTTAACGTAGGCCTTCAGCCACCCGGAAAATTCCATTTGCTGTAGCAACGATGGTGGTGCGAGAAGTTCAGTTTTACTACCCTTTAACATCGATGTAGGATATAAAATACTGTAGAATGGAAGAGGGGGGGAAACATTAGGTCCCATGTATTTTCCTGTTTCCCTAGTTTTAAGCGCAACTAACTGCCACCAAACTAATAACGGAAGTGTAAAGATATATATATATTTTTTAGTAGATGCTCTTATCCAGAGCGACTTACAGTTAGTGAGTGCATACATTATTTTTGGTATTTTATTTTTTCATACTGGCCCCCCGTGGGAATCGAACCCACAACCCTGGCGTTGCAAACGCCATGCTCTACCAACTGAGCCACATCCCTGTGTGGGCATGAGGATGTCACCTTAACACTGAGAAGCCTACGGCATGGAAGTCCCCTGCTTTAAAGCATGAAATACTGTATATGTATGTATGCATGTTATTTTACTGCTCTAGGGATATAATTATTGTTTGGATAACCTTATTTACTATTATGTAAATATTTTTACCTTAAAATGTTTTCAATCTTTATGCGATGCGCAATGCAGAAAAACACCAAAATAACAATTATCATTGAATTATTGTAAAAATTTTGTTTGTGTCTCAATTAATTCCATAAGGGATGGGTTGCCAATTGGTGAATAAACAAAACAAATGCAGTACAGGGGGAAAGGAACTGATAGACAGACAGACAGACAGTGATGGTGAGTCATTGCTAGATAGCCACCAATCAAAAGCGAGATAATGCTACCGGGAGCTTAAGCTGTAGGCCTATCAAAATGTTAGCCTGCCGACGGTACTTAGCGTCTCTGAACAGAGTGTCGTCAGTCAATCTCGTGTTCACACAGCAAAGACGAAGTCGTCAGAAGGTGAGAGTAGCGTCATTTGGCAATGCATGTCCGTGTGTGTTGCTTATGGTCTAGATCGTAGCTTGTAACGCCAATGTAGTGGGTTCGATTCCCGGGTCCACCCATATGTTAAATGTATGACTGTCGCTTTGGATAAAAACGTCTGCTAAAATGGCGTGCATATATACACACACACACTACCTGTCAAAAGTTGACACCTACTCATTCAAGGGTTTTTCTTTATTTTTACTATTTTCTACATTGTAGAATAATAGTGAAGACATCAGAACTATGAAATAACACATATGGAATCATGTAGTAACCAAAAAAGTGTTCAACAAATCAAAATATAGTTTATATTGGAGTTTCTTCAAAGTAGCCACCCTTTGCCTTGATGACAGCTTTGCACACTCTTGGTATTCCCTCAACCAGCTTCATGAGGTAGTCACGTGGAATGCATTTCAATTAACAGGTGTGCCTTCTTAAAAGTTAATTTGTGGAATTTCTTTCCACATTAATGCATTTGAGCCAATCAGTTGTGTTGTGACAAGGTAGGGGGGGTATACAGAAAATAGCCCTATTTGGTAAAAGTCCAAGTCCATATTATGGCAAGAACAGCTCAAATAAGCAAAGAGAAATGACAGTCCATCATAACTTTAAGACATGAACATCAGTCAACACGGAACATTTCAAGCACTATGATGAAACTGGCTCTCATGAGGACCGCCACTGGAATGGAAGACCCAGAGTTACCTATGCTGCAGAGGATAAGTTCATTAGAGTTACCAGCCTCAGAAATAGCAGCCCAAATAAATGCTTCACAGAGTTCAAACGCATCACAACATCAATTGTTCAGAAGAGACTGTGTGACTCAGGCCTTCATGGTCAAATTGCTGCAAAGAAACCACTACTAAAAGGACACCAATAAGAAGAAGAGACCTGCTTGGGCCAAGATACACGAACAATGGACATCAGACCGGTGGAAATTTGTCCTTTGGTCTGGAGTCCAAATTTGAGATTTTTGGTTCCAACCGCCGTCTCTTTATGAGATGCGGTGTGGGTGAACGGATGATCTCCGCATGTGTAGTTCCCACCGTAAAGCATGGAGGAGGAGGTGTTATGGTGTGGAGGTGCTTTGCTGGTGACACTGTCTGTGATTTATTTAGAATTCAAGGCACACTTAACCAGCATGGCTACCACAGCGATACGCCAACCCATCTGGTTTGGGCTTAGTGTGACCATCATTTGTTTTTCCAACAGGACAATGACCCAACACAAAGCAGACATTGAAATCCCTTTGAGCAATGTCTGCCAACACAAATTATCTTTGACAGACAGGGTCCTGAAAAAGGGACATTTCTTTTTTTGCTGAGTTCATCTGGGGACACTGCACTAACTCCGCAGCCAACACTGGCAGCCGTTTCACAGAAACAAATCCATTGTTACTTAATTATAATGTCAATACTAGCTACAGTGGTTAGCTAGCTTGGAGGAAGCATTTAGTGTTGTGTAGCATTGCATCTGCACATAGTTGGCTACTATCCCATATCCTACACTGCATATGAAGTGTGACTGGCTCATGACATTTATCCGTGGATGTACAGAGAAAATGGCCTCTTCTTTTTTGTTGTCACTCCCGTTGGCACCCTCACATGTGGGTTTGTGCTCTCTGATTGGCTCAAAGTCAAGTTGTTGGCCACTGACAAGCATTGCCAGTCTACAAGTAGAAGCGGCAGGTTGGTCACCACCGGGTCGGCACGCAGCAAGGTACCGCTTTTGTTCTAGCGAGAGAAGGAACGGCCTCCCACTGTGATAAGTACCTATCAGCTGTCTATCGGCAGTGAGATTCTCTGTGTGTTTCATGCTTTAGAGTAGAGATGGGCCTACAGCTTTAGCTTCCTCTTTAGAGTAGAGTCCTACAGAGTCCCAGCCTTGTGTAGCAGGCTTCTGGTGCTGGTTTCCTGGAAACAGATCATGCCTAGTAATGGACTAAAAAGCATTGTCAATGGAGACTCAATGTGGTGCTTTTTAGTCCAGAATTAGCCTTAATCTGTGTCCGGCAAACTGACTCTTGGAGTTTTCTGACAGAAATAAAAATGGGTTAAGAGTTAGTCTAGACACCAATGCTGGGGAAAACCAACAGTTAATCAAAGCACCCAGGGGCACAACCAGCAGGGCATAAATTAGTGGAACATTCAGATTGAAATAGAATGTAGAACCAAAACAAGATTCTCTGACATGTAGAATAAGGAATCATGTCAGCTCTATTAATGACATTCCAAATGGCAACATTCCACAACGTCTGTCTATTGAACGTGAACCCAGGGTTAAACTTAGTTACAACCAGTGGTGTAGCGGAGGATAAAGCGCAGTTTAACCAGATTTATTTTTCGCACTACAGTTTACCCACCTTTTTAAGGAAAAATGCATTGAAAGTAACAGGAGCGTTACTTTTTTCACCTTCGACCAGCGATCTGAGTTTACCCACCTGTTTTTAATTGTTTTTACCACTACACTGAATAAAGTGCCAAATTAACAACATCTTTCTGTGAAGTTAAAGCCCTCTGTATTATTAAATAACTGGCCTATATGACAGATGGTCTCACAGGAATGGGAGTTTTCCACACATAGCAGGCAGAGGAAACTTACATGCTCCCTACAGACAGGTGTTATAACATAAATTCAAAATTATAAAAATGGTGAGATACAGCAACCGGGTTACAGTGCTAAAGTTGCGAGCGGGGAGAGCAAACACTAGTATCTCACTGCAGGCAACAGGTGGCGATTGAGCAGCAAACAGGAGACTCACAACTCGGAACCGGTAACCTTCTCATTCCACTCGCCAAGTTTCTCAGTGGTTCTGATATAGCTAGAAACAGAGACTGGGTTAGAGATATGCAGCTCAGCACTGTGCCCGGCTGGCTCTCCGTTGCCCGATTCATGCTATAGGGCAGATCCAGACCGTTCCCGGCTCAAGATATTTTCTGTTCACCTTGTCATTTCCAGAAAGATAACCAAGCTCGGCCCTACAGTATGAGCCAAGCATTTGCAAAAGGCTTAGGTTGTTATATCATCTGAGAATGGAACAACCCCCAGTAGCTGTGCCACAGATGGAACAATGAGCCAGATGCTTCACCGGATGTATAAAAATGTGAAGCATCCAGTCGGCGTTTCCACTCACTACCAAATATGGTGATGAGAGGAAGCCCAGTGGCCAACGGTGGTAGAAGATGGCACAAGATGGATTTGGGCCGACATCCTACTGATTTTTGTCATCGATGAAACATTTAATCTCAATACAGTTTTCAGTTCCCAAAACTAATCTCTGTTACGATCAGAGTGGACAAAATGTTGTAGACTTTAACCTTTGCCAAAGTATAACATTTTTTTTGTTTGTTTAGAAGGAGTGCAAGGGCGAATTGAGTTACTGCACACGCGCACTTCAGAGTAGGCGTTCCCTAACGGAAATATGCAAATACACGCTAGAACTTTCCAAAAGGATCTCGGTAGCTCGCGCTTGGCTCTGCCCACCTCCTTGCTTGTTCTGCCCACTAGGACTCATCTGCTCCCATTGGACACTACAGGCTGTGGTCCATCTTTGGCCAGGCTACCCGAATCCGTGACAATGGCTCATACTGAAACTTTCACTATCAACATCTAAAAACTATTAATGACTTGGTAATACAAGTGTGCCACTGTAAGGCTTTGACAGGATTTAAATGATTGTGAAAATGTAAACAGAAATGTATATACAAAAATAAAATGAAGGTTGTTCTACTTACGCGTTGGAGGTCTGAACGTCCTGCCATCCCTTGGAGAGGTTCTGTTTGAGCTCGTTGAGAGGACTCAGCCCCAGCTTCCTCTTCAGATCAGCAGAATGCTTCTCTTTGGCCAGGAGCACCTGTCTCAAGGTGTTGACCTCCTCCTCCACCTGACAGCAACACACAGGAGAGGTCAGAGGTCAATTCCAGGCCCCTTTCCCCAGTGTCTGTCATGTGTGGCTAACTGAAGAGACATTCCTCTTGGGTGAATATAGTCTCAGAAAGCATGCAAACTACACTGAACAAAAATATAAAAACGCAACATACAACAATTTCTAAGATTTGACTGAGTTACAGTTGACATAAGGAAATCAGTCAATTGAAATAAATTCATTAGGCCCTAATCTATGGATTTCACAAGACTGGGCATACAGATATGCATCGGTTGGTCACAAATCCCTTTAAAAAGAAGGGAGGGGCGTGGATCAGAAAACCAGTCAGTATATGGTGTGACCACCATTTGCCTCACGCAGCGTGACACATATTCGAATAGAGTTGATCAGGCTGTTGATTGTGGCCTGTGGAATGTTGTCCCACTCCTCTTCAATGGCTGTGCGAAGTTGCTGGATGTTGGCGTGAACTGGAACACGCTGTCGTACACGACGATCCAGAGCATCCCAAACACGCTCAATGGGTGACATGTCTGGTGAGTGTGCAGGCCATGTAAGAACTGGGACATTTTCAGCTTCCAGGAATTGTGTACAGATCCTTGCGAAATGGGGCCGTGTTATCATGACGAAACATGAGGTGATGGCGGCGGATGAATGGCACGACAATGGGCCTCAGGATCTTGTCACGGTATCTGTGCATTCAAATTGCCATTGTTAAAATGCAATTGTGTTCATTGTCCGTAGCTTATGCCTGCCCATACCATAACCCCACCGCCACCATGGGGCACTCTGTTCACAACGTTGACATCAGCAAACCGCTCACCAACGACACCATACTCCTTGCATGTTCTGCTCACTATGACTAATGTGTTCCCATTGGAAAGGACAGGCTGTGGTCCATCTTTGTTATAAAAATCTTTGGTGTACCTGTGTAATGATCATGCTGTTTAAATCAGCTTCTTGATATGCCACACCTGTCAGGTGGATGGATTATCTTGGCAAAGGAGAAATGCTCACTAACAGGGATGTAAACAAATGTGTGCACAACAGTTTAGAGAAATAAGCTTTGTGCGTATGGAACATTTCTGGGATATTTTATTTCAGCTCATGAAACATCGGACCAACACTTTACATGTTGTGTTTATATTTTTGTTCAGTGTCCCCATTGTCTGAAACGGAGTTCCTCAATGTTTGTCGAATGGATTATTAGTGAACCAAAACTCAGTCTAACAGGGCTCTGCGCTTAGATTAGGAAACGGGGACAACAGGATCTACATTGGTGAGCTCAGACCAAGCGACAGGACGTTGGAACACCAGACCGATAAAGACACAGGACCCTAGCTTGACTAGTGGAGAGCGGAGTTCTTCGGCCTCCTCCTCTGCGAGCCCTGGGGGAAGCGTGTTGACGGCTGCTACTGCCATGGCTACCTCTAACCTTAACCCCCAACAGACAGGACAACGGGGCCTACCTTGACTAGCTCAGAGCGGAGCTCCTCGGCCTCCTCCTCCGTGAGCCCTGGGGGCAGCGTGTTGACGGCTGCTACTGCCATGGCTCCCCCCTTCCCGGAGACATCCGTTAGGGAGTCTACTCCTCCTGCGGGTCCCAGGCCCTTGTTGGGGGAGTTCAGGTTGATGTCTGGGTCAAGAGAGAGAGTGGGGGCGGGGGGGCATGCTGAGATGAGAGTAGAAGGCCTTGAATTGATTGAAGTGTTAAATGTCATCAACAGTAACAGCACTAGATCTCTGCATCTTCACTCACCGACTTTAGGTCACACTAGGGTTTCCTTCCAATTGGTGACAGATTTTCATGTGAATATTCTAAAATCTGCATGAAAACAACATGCGCATTTTCCCACCAGAGATGTTTCCATGAAATTGACTTGTTGCAGATCAAAAAGGATGTTCGTGATAACGTAGCACACATAACATAAAAATAACGTTTGCAGTTAAATTCCCATTTACCGAATAGAACAATACAAGTCAAATTGGTTTCCATGGCATTTTTTCAACTCTACTGATGGTTTTGTCACAACCGACGTTGCGTTATATAGCGAATGTGGCCCACTCTGGTCTTGGTATGTTCGCTCTAGGCGACAGCTTGGCAGACACAGTGCAGCGGTAAAGGCTACCGACATGTACATGATGATTTTATGGATAAGAGCAAGACTTTTATTTTGTCGAACGGTAGTCAAGCGTCGATCATCATGTCACCAGAATAAGACCAGTATTAAAAAAAAAATGTAATCACTAACTGTAAGTCGCTCTGGATAAGAGCGTCTGCTAAATGACTAAAATGTAAATGTAGTAGAAAGGACTTTCACCCCCCTGTGAAGGTCATTACTTAGTGGAACATACAGAGCCTTCAGAAAAGTATTCACACCAAGAGTTTCCCACATTTTATGTTACAAAGTTGGAAATTTTTTTTGATTTAATTGCCTTTTTTTTGTGTCAACGATCTACACAAAATACTATTATGTCAAAGAGGAAGAAAAATTATGCATTGTAAAAATATATATAAATAAATAAAACACTAATATACAGTATCTTGATTAGATAAGTATAAATCACCTTTGGCAGCGATTACAGCCGTGAGTCTTTCTGGGTAAGTCTCTAAAGAGCTTTCCACACCTGGATTGCACAACATTTGCCCATTATTCTTTTCAAAATTCTTCAAGCTCTGTCAAATTGGTTGTTGATCATTGCTAGACAACCATTTTTCAGGTCTTACCATATATATTTCCAAGCAGATTTAAAAATCAAAACTAACCTCGGCCACTCAGGAACATTCACCGTCTTCTTAGTGAGCAACAACAGTGTAGATTTGGCCTCGTGTTTGTTGTTGTCCTGCTGAAAAGTGATTTAATCTCTCTGTGTCTGGTGGAAAGCAGACTGAACCAGGTTTTTTAGGATTTTGCCTGTGCTTAGCTCGATTCCGTTTATTATTATTTTATCCTGAAAAACTCCACAGTCCTTAACGATTACAAGCATACCCATAACATGATGAAGCCACCACTATGCTTGAAATTATGGAGAGTGGTACTCAGTAATGTGTTGTATTGGACAGAAAAAAATTGAGCTTTTTTTTTGCCACATTTTCTGCAGTATTACTTTAGTCCCTTGTTGTAAACAGGATGCATGTTTTGGAATATTTGTATTCTGTACAGGCTTCCTTCTATTCACTCTGTCATTTACGTTAGTATTGTGGACTAAATACAATGTTGCTGATTCACCTTCAGTTTCCTTTCTATCACAGCCATTGAACTCTGTAACCGTTTTAAAGTCACCATTGGCCTCATTGTGAAATCCATGAGCGTTTTCCTTCCTCCTCGGCAACTGAGTCAGGAAGGACGCCTGACAAAAGATATCAATTTAATCCATTTTAAAATTTCAGGCTGTAACAACAAAATGTGCAAAAGGGGTGTGAATACTTCCTGAAGGCACTATCCTCGTGTACTTCGGTATAATGGTTATATCAATATTTGCGCAATAAAAAGGCATTTCCGCTGCCATTTCTTGCATTTTACTGACTAAAAGATCTCACCTTGCCTAGGGCAAGTTTACCGACAAATTTGCTGTTTACGTCAGGCCTATCGTGATTCTCCCCCCCCTCCCCCCCCGGACATACTTAACTCTCATAAAAAGGCAGGATGGAAGCCTGGTTACAGACAGAGACAGAGACAGTGTAAGGAAAGGGCTTAGCGCCGTCAAAAGCTGAACATTTCCCGGGTAGAGTGGGGCTAATTACCCAGTTAGGCCTAAACGTAACTCTAGACCACTACGGAAGCAGCAGCCTTTTAAAAAAATGGCTATTAGGGCATTAGTCCACTCCTGTCTCTGTCCTCTGAGTGGACTGGGCTGAGCCAGTGTCCCAAATGGCACCCTATAGCCTTTATAGTGCACTACTTTTGACATGGATGCACTATATAGGGAATAGGGTGTCATTTAGGACGCAATGGGATAATGGAACCACCACCTTTAGCTAAAGTCCTCTGTCCCGACACTGATGCACTAGCCCAGATCTGCGTTGTCTCGACGTGCCTACTCCTGAAGTCATTGTGGTTGTCATTGCCAAACATTGACCATAGGAGCTGGCAAGCTACTGATACACTGCATCTACAGTAAACAAGGCCATCGTCTCTGATGAAGAATAGCGGTGTTGGGTTGGAGGAGACGAGATGACAGTGGAGTGGGACCACATGTTGCAGTACCATAAACACCGACTCCCTTCCTGGCGTCTGACAGCTGTGTGGTTTTTTGTACCGGACATCTTGTGGATGCTTTTCTCCAGGATTGCCTCCGGTTGGGATGTGTTTGTCTTGACTTTTGGCTTTATGTCACTACTGTACTATGCAGTCACAGAAAATACAAAACGAGTAAAGCAATAAGAAGCTAGCTAGTTACACTCCAAAATGAGACCATTTCTAGAAGATAGATAGGGTCAAGCCCATTTGACAGGATGCATTTACATTTTTAGTCATTTAGCAGACGCTCTTATACAGAGCGACTTACAGTTAGTGAATTATGCAGTGCCTTAGACCACTGCGCCACTCGGGAGGTACAGGATGCCTGTTTGAGGTTGAATGTAAGTGAACCTAATATCAGGTCCTATCAATCGTGACGAGAGTCTTTCCACAGCAGGGTGAGAAGAGGCTGAGGACCAGTGATGCAATGCGGCATCCAGTCATAGTCATTCCTCATATTGTCTTTGGCTGGCTTGCGTCATAAGATTCATAATGACGTTACTCGAATGTTCTACACAACTGCCTGGCATTGAGGGTAGCCTACGGCTAAATAGCTAAGGAACGCGGGAGACACTCTTCAAGCCATTTTCATCCGGTGGCCGGCGCTATACGTCACATGGGCGTAGATCATGGCGTGCACCCGTATGCGCGCTCTTATATACAGTCATTGGTGCAGTGTTTCCGAACGAGCCGGATCGTGGAATCTAATTCAACACACCGCTAAGCCACAGAGCGCAGGTTGGCTAAAGCCCAACTACAGTAATGGATGGTACCGTTTCATCAGGGAGCAACAAAGATTAGGCCTATATGAATCATCTCATGAGTAGCAGACCCTTTTCCTTTCTTCCTGGGCCAAGCAGATGAGCCTAAACCTACTTTCAAGTTATCAGGTTGTTAGCTAGCTAGGTAACATGACTGAACATTGTTTGTTATAAAACACATTTTTAGCGACCAGGGATTAGTTTAAAAAAACGGCCCGCGACATGGTTTGTGAAATTATAAGCTGTTTTCTTTGCTGTAAAGCTGCAAGCATGCCTGTCACGAAGCGGTGCTCGATCTTCTCTCTCTGACACTCAGAGGCTGCATGACAGCGAACTTCTCAGACTGGTCTGTGCTCTTGGTTAGAACATTTAAGAATGATGGAGGCCACTGTGTTCTTGGGGACCTTTAACGCTGCAGAAATGTTTTGGTACCCTTCCCCAGTTTTGTTCCTCGACACAATCCTGTCTCGGAGCTCTACGGACAATTCCTTCGACCTCATGGCTTGGTTTTTGCTCTGACATGCACTGTCAACTGTAGGACCTTACATAGACAGGTGTATGCCTTTCCAAATCATGTCCAATCAATAGAATTTACCACAGGTGGACTCCAATCAAGTTGTAGAAACATCTCAAGGATGATCAATGGAAACAGGATGTACCGGAGCTCAATTTCAAGTCTCATAGCAAAGGGTCTGAATACTTGTGTAAATAAGGTGTCTGTTATTTTTTTATATATTTGCAAACATTTCTACAAACCTGTTTTTGCTTTGTCATTATGGGGTATTGTGTGTAGATTGCTGAAGAAAAAAAAACTAATATTTTTTAGAATAAGGCTGTAACGTAACAAAATGTGGAAGTCAAGGTGTCTGAATACTTTCCAAATGCACTGTATGTATGTTTATATATAAAAATCACGACATTTTTAACAGATGATTTGTTCGTTCGACATCTTTTTGAGTCTGTAAAATTAATTATGCGATCAATGGCGGTGGAAACGTCTTTATGTGCAAATATTAATATAATAACCATATCAAAGTCACGCGATGATATGGTTGGTGTGTGTGTGTGTGGTCCTCCCACTACGACTCGGGAAACCACGCAGTTTATTAGGCAACAGATTAAATATATATGTTACTTCACAGGGTGGTGGAGGTTCACATTGAGGAGTTTGATGCTGCTTTCCAATATTCTGGTGACTTGATGATGGATGTGCACTAAGCCTACCTGCACAATATCTGCAAGCTGTTGGCTAGATATCTTGGCCACATGCCAAGACCAGAGTAAGCACATTTGCTATTTAAACGCAACAGTGTGTGACAAAAACTAAAAATCGGTAGAGTTGAAAATGTGACGGAAACACATTGAACTTTAGATTTGTTTATTCGGTACATAAACAAACGTAAATCAAAAAACGTACATTTTTGCGTGCACTACGTCACCAAACACACTGATTTTTATCCACAACAAGTCTGTTTGGTGGAAACACCACTGGTGGGGAAAAAGCACATTATTTTCTTTATACAGATTTTAAAATATTCACATGGAAATCTGTCGCCAATTGGATGGAAACCTAGCTAGTGATTGACAGCAGGGCTTGACATCTGTCTTTTGGACAAGTAGGACAGATTTTTTACTTGTCCAAGAAGTTCAAGTCACTTGTCCCAACAA